TAATAATGTCATAGCCGATGCACTGTCTCGACCCACCATAAACCACGTCGTGACAAACCCAGCTCAGGTGGACTATTATGTAATCAGTAAGGCCCAACGGGAAGACCCTGATCTGCAGCAATTACAGACATCTGACACAGCTCTCCGGTTCATCGAGATTCCCATGGAAGGTGGCGGAAGTATAATCTGTGACACCTCACGGACGGGAGCACTTAGGCCCTACATTCCTGCCCAGTTTCGCTGGAAAACGTTCTCAGTATTTCACTCCCTAGCACACCCAGGAGTACATGCTTCCCAGAAACTACTAACGAAGCGTGTTGTAAGGCCAGAAATCAATGCCGATGTTCGACGATGGACTCGCTCATGTCTCCAGTGCCAGCGAGCGAAAACACATCGTCACACACAGAGACCGCTTCAACAGTTCCCGTTACCTTCTGACCGTTTCGAAGTGGTGCATGTAGACATCGTTGGACCATTACCGTCGGCAAGAGGATATTCTTATCTACTCACCTGCATCGATCGATTCTCCAGATGGCCGGAAGCAATCCCATTAATCAACATCTCAGCTGAGTCAGTGGTCCAGGCTTTCCTCTCTGGATGGGTCGCCCGTTTTGGCAGCCCCTCTGTCATCATCACCGACTAAGGACGACAGTTCGAGTCATATCTATGGAAAAAACTTATGGAATTCCTCGGCATCACACACAACCGAACCACAGCATACCACCCTGAGTCGAACGGAATGGTAGAACGCTTTCATAGACAACTAAAAGCTGCCCTAAGCAGCCCGTCCTCCAAACAAAGATCCAAAAGTGATTCCATGCATCCGCCAAACCCCCTGTTTATGAATGAAAAACGGTTTACACACGACTCACAACTGATTTCGTTCGAACACTTCCGGAACAAGTGCTTCACTGACGAGTTTTGTTCGAACCACTTCGCTATAAATGCTTCACCCACGTACTACATATGCAAATAATCGCCAACCGAACCTAAACACCTAACCTAACCTATGCCTATATATGCACAATATGCTAATATATTATAATATTAATTTATATTTGAGAAAATTCTTGTTCTGAATGAACAGCATGTTAAAATTTATGAATGTGTCTGTGCGGGCGACCGCTGGATGTAATGGACTTGAGTCGAGGACGGGTTGCCCTAAGAGATCAAGCACGCCCTGATGATTGGATCGACAACCTTTGTTATATAAAATGGTGGGCTTGCTATGGGGAATCTAGTGCTATTCAGGGGTAAGGTCAGTCAGAATAAAGATGTATCTATTTGGGGAGATCAGTAAGGCCCGGCTCCCATGGAAACTAGAAGTAGTGCTGACTACTTGGCTACACCACAAGGTCAGTCTAGGGAATGATCAAGATCTCCTACACAGGAAGAACGATACTCTTATAATTCATGTACTTATTTATTAACCCCTTAACAGCCCCCCATATACATTCACACCAATGACAATAATAATAATAACTTTACCACACTACCTTACGTTAAAAGCCTTGGTCCACATAAGCAGGATACAAGGTTTTACACTGAACACAAGCTAGGGTAAAGCTCTACTATTGAATAACTTGAAGTTAGAGTCAGCTTAGGGTAGGGGGACCATGTGGTTCCAATGGAACCCCCTTTAGAATAACTAGTAATATAAACTCTAAAAACACCTACTACACACAGAGTATACTACTCTACACATAGAACATGAGTATGCCAGAGATTGAATAATGTACTCAGTATATACTTATCTTGAACAAGACACAGAAATAAGGAAACGAAGAGGAAGGGGAGGGGGTTCCTTTCACCACAGCCAGCAACCAGAGAAGACCGCTCCCAGCGAGCAGCTCAGGCCTCCCGCATGTGGTGGTGCCGGAAGGAGCCTAATTGATCGTTGTTACGGCCCTATTGGGTCGCAACTGGGTTCTTCTCTGATGTTATTAGAGTTTGGGTATCCGGCCCCAAGCTAGTAGTGGTTTCCAAGGGGTGCGTTCCGTAACGCAAGTTAAATTAAAGGGGAAGGGATACAAATGCACTAATTTAAATATATTATTTCACCGCCACCATAAATAAATATATCACAGTCACACGGGGGGTATAAATACACAATATACAGAATTGTCTTCCTCTGAAGACACAGGATGCTCCACGGTGCTCACGATGAGTAGCCCTGGTTCTCTTCTTTGGCCCACGAAGAATCCTCAGATTCCCTCGGCGAATCTACCCTGGCCACAGGCCAGCCAAATCACAGTCCCACTGGGTGCACCATCGTGGAGGCCTTCAACCACAAATCCAGCCTGTAGCTGGCAGATTCCGATCAGCTCCGCTGTGTAGGCCACTCCACGATCGATACTAGGGTTGCGAGCCCTAGGCAGGAGCCTCGTGTGATTCCGCAGATCACTCTCCTCTCTTCGCACCACAGTGGGTAGTCTCCTCCACCAGCCAGCCCCCAGATAAGACGATTCCTGGTACTACCACGTCACAGGCAGGCTAACACACTCAACAGTGTTCGTCCGGGGGTGACTCACAGCTTCTGCAGCAAACACGTGGAGAGACTTAGGCTGCCTTGGGTAGACTGCCCCAACGTCCAATTCAGCAGACCCAGGTCGACTCTGTAATCAGACACGTCATCAGTACTAGGGACACACTAGGGCACCTCACTTACAGGCTTAGACACAGACATCCACCTATCCACTCCATAGATGGCGTTGCTGTCTAAGCGCCACCTCACCAGAGGTCAGCAGCGGCTATGTCACGAGCTGATTAAGACGGGAATCCAGCCCCTGTGGCCGGTATATCCCGTCCTCACTAGATGGCGTCGTCCATTTGGAGGGGGTTTCGGGAGCTGACCCACAGATGGCGTTGTCGTCACCGCTCCGTGCTACGACGCTGGGCTCGGGTCCGTAACAATCGTGCAGCTAAGCACATTAAAAATCTTCCCCTATGCAACGTATTGTTACTTTACAAATGATTAAAGTATTAGTAAACATAGTTGGTGCCTATGTTATTATTTAATAATCAACCCCCAGCTCAGTCTTTAAATGCTCTTTGAGAAACAAGAATAGTCTTACGTCTGGCAGGGAAGATACAAACAAAGACACATCGAGTTGCGTTTTGCTACTCTAACGTAGCTTATTTAGTTCAATTTTGACCTCTGGTTTCCACTGAAGAACCCAGGGTCGTAACAACCTTCTATTAGTCTTGCTTGGCATCCGTTCGGCCACGAAGGAGGGCAGTGGATTCTCGGTGGCAGACTTAGTATACGGATCTAGCCTGCGGCTTCCGGGCGAATTATTAACACCGACGCCACTCATCACACCCCAGACCCCACTTTTGTCCAGAAATTACGGGCGGCCATGACAAGCAATCGGCCTACACCCCCACACCAACCGACAACTCGTGCTACATATGTGCCTCATGAGCTCCACACAACTGAACACGCGTCTGTAAGAGTCGACGCCCTTTACAGTCACCTTACGAAGGACCATATAAAGTGGTCTCTCGAACGTGGTGTAGTGGTAAGACACTCGCCTGGCGTTCCGCGAGCGCTATGTCATGGGTTCGTATCCTGGCCGGGGAGGATTTACTGGGCGCAATTCCTTAACTGTAGCCTCTGTTTAACGCAACAGTAAAATGTGTACTTGGATGAAAAAACGATTCTTCGCGGCAGGGGATCGTATTCCAGGGACCTGCCCGAAACGCTATGCGTACTAGTGGCTGTACAAGAATGTAACAACTCTTGTATATATCTCAAACACCGAAGTTCTTCACCATTGAACGCCGAGGACAGCGGGTAAACATCTCCATCGATCGCCTTAAACCAGCACACTGTGATGCTGCCCCAGACATCCCTCCAGACACATCTGTCGTTCACTTTTCGACCACAGTTACCATCACCTACGAACGATCCTGTACGACCTCCAACCCTACATCCCCAGTTACCAGCTGCACCACCACCTGATCCTACGACGACGGACGATCCAGTGCGACCTCCCACCCTACGATCCCAGTTTTATGACATCAGCGAAGAAGAGGAAGTTAACTTTGAGGGTTATACAACGCGAGCAGGGCGTACAATTCACCGACCAGCTAGGTTCCTTGATCAAGTATTTTTCCTTTCATCCCCTGGGAGGGGGAGTTCTGTAGCGAATAGATTATCCCAATAATATATTCGCTCCAAATGCATTGTTAATATTCCTGTCAACCTTTGGAGATGAATGAGGCGAGGTGTTGCCCGAGCATATAAGCAGCAGAATAGCAAATATTAACTAGTCTACTTTCAAGTGTGGTCTAGAGCAGACACTTCCGAGATACTGTACCGACGCTCAGTGCGCTCAACTCACACCAAAGTACCACCTGCGTACTTCTGTATATTCGACCAAATATATATATTATCTTAGTGTTTGTGTTTATTGTCACCATACTTTATGTAACAATAGAACCGTTACAGTAGAATAATAAACCCCACATTGAGTTAGGAAAATACCATTTGTCAGATACTGTTATCAAAAGATCCCCCATTTTGCACCCGCAAGATAACATAAGATTTTAAGGGTTGACGAATGTTAATCTTGTTTGAGAAGCTGTTCACTTGAGACAGTTAAGCAATTAAGTCCCCAGCTCTGTCTGGGTACAAGAGACAGGATGAACAACCGATCGGATTTTCTTCCTATTGAGGAGTGTTGTACATGCAGCTATGGCGGTGTGTCCACTCACAGGATGAATGGCGCTGACCAATATACTCGCCCCTCGGGGCAAAATTTAAATTAAAGGAACAGGTAGACATCCTTGAGACCTCTCTCGTTGTCCCTGTGGGAAATGGCTGCCAGCCGTATGGTTCATTTGAAAATGATTGCTAAGAAGTTTTATAGAATTTAACTAATATAAAAGCTCATGCTCTATCTATATTTACTCTCAATTATTGTGTACAATAATTTTAGTAATATGATATGAATTGATGTGCGGAACATTGTGACTAAATGAAATTTACCTTTTTCCCGGCAGCGTTGATCAGCTGTTTACCCGTGGACAAACACAATAACTGTATAGTAAGCGACGCAGCTCAGCGCCAGCCTCCCGCACTCATCCTCAAGGTAAACCTTCCTGCAGCACTCATACACCTCTCCCACTCCTCCACCCACACACCTCTCCCACTCCTCCACCCACACACTACTCTACAGAGAAAGTTGCACTTGTTCTTAAAGTAGGGTAGCCCAACCATATCCCAGTGACAAGATATAGCTATTATTCATGTGGGTGGGGGCAAGATGTGGGTGGGTGTAAGATGTGGGTGGGGGCAGGATGTGGGTGGGTGTAAGATGTGGGTGGGGGCAAGATGTGGGTGAGTGTAAGATGTGGGTGGGGGCAAGATGTGGGTGAGTGTAAGATGTAGGTGGGAGTAAGATGTGGGTTGGGGCAAGATGTGGGTGGGTGTAAGATGTGGGTGGGGGCAGGATGTGGGTGGGGGCAGGATGTGGGTGGGGGCAAGATGTGGGGTGGGTGTAAGATGTGGGTGGGTGGGGGCAGGATGTGGGTGAGTGTAAGATGTAGGTGGGAGTAAGATGTGGGTTGGGGCAAGATGTGGGTGGGTGTAAGATGTGGGTGGGGGCAGGATGTGGGTGGGGGCAAGATGTGGGGTGGGTGTAAGATGTGGGTGGGGGCAAGATGTGGGGTGGGTGTAAGATGTGGGTGGGGGCAAGATCTGGGGTGGGTGTAAGATGTGGGTGGGGGCAAGATGTGGGGTGGGTGTAAGATGTGGGTGGGGGCAAGATGTGGGTGGGGGAAAGATGTGGGTGGTTGTAGGATATGGGAAGTGTAAGATGTGGGTTGGGCATAAGCTGTGGTTAGGGGCAAGATGTGGGTGGGTGCTAAATGTGGGTGTATAAAGTGTGGGTGGGTGTATAAGATGTGGGTGGGGGCAAGATGTGAGTGGGTGTGAGACGTGGGTGGGTGTATAAGATGTGAGTGGGTGGGGGCAAGATGTGAGTGGGTGCTACATGTGGGTAGGTGGGTGTAAGATGTGGGTGGGGGCAAGATGTGGGTGGGTGTAAGATGTGAAGAGTAGAAGAACTCTTGAAACACTCTCCAGGTATGCTCCAGGGGGGTTGATTCTACTGCAATTTCAGATTCGGGTGGCGTGTGCCACTATCCCAGTTTCTATTGTTTCGTGGAGATTGGTCAATAAACACAAACACTACGGCACTATTTATCTTTTGTTGCGTATACAGTAGTTGCGGGTGATATTTTGGCAGGCAATGGTGCGGCTTGGGCGCACTGAGTGTCGGTACAGTGTCTCACATGTCTGTTCTAGACCACACTAGTCTAGTCCACACTTGCAGGTAGACTAGTTATTATTCGCTACTCTGCTGGTTATATGCTTGGGCGCCACCTCACAGTTCTCCACAGTTTGGCAGGACTTTTCCTTAGACGTACGGAACGGTTTGAGTTCCATCGTTGGTACTTTGTAGAGCTTTGCTTCTCTAGTTAGGCTCATGCGTTTGGAGCGAGTATTGGAATTCTCTACTCCGCCACCCTTGTTCACTGTTCCATCTTTGTTTACTCTTCCCCGCTTGGCGGGATTGTGTCGATGGCTCCTGACTGGGGTGTTTTGGTGTGGTGTTTGGTCACCTTGCATGTGTCTTTAGTGCCTTTTTTGTCCATCTTTTGTTCTTTGTTGTCCTGTGGGGCTCTGCACCGCGTTTCGGTGCTTTTGTTTTCGTTGTCGACCCCTGGGTCTTTTCCCTGTCTGGACGCTTTCCTTGCCTATCTTCGGTGCCTGACTGCACCCTGCTGTCCGTAAGGTGTAAGGTCCCTACACACCGCTCCTCTACACATTTTTGTGGTTGGTCGTGTGCGTTACTTCCCGGCCGCTCCTTGGGCCATATTCGTGGTTTTCCTTACCTATTTCCGTTTTTCCTCCCCCATGCTACACTTTTTTGTGTATCTGGGTCATTGCTTCTTGATTATCCTGTTTGGTGCTCCGGTGGGCCTCTGTTCATGTTCCACGTCCTGCTTTTCGACTTCTCCGGTGTTCCGTTTTGGTACCGAGTTCCTGCGATTTCTGTGTGGTTTTCTGCAGGCTTCGGGTTGCGCTGTCTGTGGGGGGGCAGTGTGGACTTTTCAGTCTGCCGCTCCTGCCTTCCTGGTTCCTTTTCTTGGAACCGGGTTTGCTGGGTTCCGGTCCTGGTTTCGGTTTTTCTTTGTTCCTTTTCCGGACCGGGTGTGTTTGCTTTCCTGCGGTTCTCATCCTCGATAGTTCTCCTCTTGGATGCCTCGGGGATGCGTGTATCATTCTTCCCTGCTGGAGCTGGTTATGTTGCTCCTTTGGGTTGTGGGGTCGCTGTTTTTAGATTCGTGTTTTGCGCTTTCGATTGTGGTGTTCGTTTCTCGTCGTTTGTGTCGGCACAGGTGGGTTCGTTATTGGTCTCCCACCTGCGTGTTTCGTCTCGGGGGCGGTGTGTGGTTTTCCTATCACTGCGAAGGGTCCTTCGGTCTTTGATAGGGTTGGCTTGTTTTCCCTTCGGGGTTGTTCTGGGACCGTTGTCTGGGATTGTCCTGTCACCTCATGTTGGGTGGTGCTGGCAGAGCTGCTCCTGCTTGCGTTCAGTGTTGCGGTTCCTTCTGCTCCATTCCACTTGCTGTCCTGGGCGTTGTTCCCCTCTGGCCTGCTCTTGAGTTTTGGGGCCGTCCTGGTCGTTGGCCTGGGTAGTCTTTTTCTTCTCGTCTTGGTCTTTGTTTTGTCTCTGGCTTTGGTTGTTCAGTTAGAACGTGTGGTATTCGCCTCCCGGTTCCTTCCCTGTTTTACTTATCTTTTGGTAAGGTAGCTCCGGGGAGCCGACGGGGCTCCCCCCAGAAAACCAGCGTTGAATGTAATGAAACGCTATTTTCTGGGTGAGTCCCGGAGGCTCCCCGGCATCCTTCCCTCCCTCCGGTCGGCGGCGTTTTTCGCGTATTTTGACATCCAGCCTAAGAACTGCCAGTTGGATCACCGGCATGGAGGGTCTGGGGCTCCCCCTTCCCCCTCTCGGGGAGAGGGGGGGGGGTTGCGCAGACGGTGGCGCGGCGACGTGATGACGTCATGCTAGTTTGATAATTTTGTTTGGGGAGTTCTGTCCACTTGTTCGGCTTTCGGTAGCAATAATTTCACCAGAATAGGGGTTTGTTTTGGGGCGCCTACCTTTCTGAGTGCCTGTCCCGGTCGATGGCAGACATAGAATGCTCCCAATCACAAGGGGGTTTCTATAGGCTCCTCCCTCTCCTTGCTCCTCATGCCTCTCTAAGGGGGCCAGGTTCTGGCTCGTGGACCCCGGTAGGCAAGAACTCCTAGCAATTTGACTGATGCCAGAAAGTTATACATATCCATTCAGCCTGGATAGCTCCGGGAAGCCTCCGGGACTCACCCAGAAAATGGCGTTTCATTACATTCAACCCTGTTTTTTTTTTATATTGCGCCTGGGTGCATTGCAGGCTAAAATTGCAAGAGCAACCCAGGGGTTAAGAAGTTTACTTATGAAGTTCTTCGACTTTGCATGCCTGAGGCTATTTAATTTTATTAGAGACATGTCTTTCAATATAATGTTTCATATAGTATTTTTCTAGAGGTTCCATGCCTTGACATATTGTCACTCATATAAATATTACTTTCAATAGGTTACAGTAAAGAAAAATGTCGTCTAGCATTCAGCTCTCCCCTGAGGCACTGTGTGATGGCTTGGATCAACTTTCAATTCAGCAACTTGAGCTCATGGACCAGCTCATTAAGGTAATTATTTTCAATGAAGTGTCAATTTAAAAAATTATGACTAGGTAGGCAGTAGCCAAATATTTAGCTTATATATATATATATATATATATATATATATATATATATATATATATATATATATATATATATATATATATATATTTTATATATATATATATATATATATATATATATATATATATAATATATATATATATATATATATATATATATATATATATATATATATATATATATATATATATATATATATTTTACAACCTTGATTCAACGTACTATATGGGACCGACCCCAGTTCGTTGGAGCGTTGGATTCGTTGCAAGAGGTGACCTTCAGGAGGCGTTTGCATCAGTGTCTTTATTTTTCTTGTAGACAATAAAAATGCATTATCATATTATATAATGTACCTATATATTATTACTCTACTAACAAATACTGTTACATTCGTTATTTACCTTATTGTTGGAGTCAAGTCCATCTTGAAGTCTCATGGAGTTGTGAATGTTGTACAGTAAATACATACTGTAGTGTATTATGCCGCTAACACTGTGTTGAGTAGTTCTGTTGTATGTTGAGTACTACAATAAAGTTTATGAAAACTATTGTACACTAAAATTACTGCAATTTAATTTTAACACTATATTTTGATTTGTCAAGAGGCTGGAGTGTTCATTCCGCGACTTTGTTGGACATATCGGCTCGATCAAGGAACATCCGTGCACCATGTCGGCTACAAATGCACTCATTGTGTCAGTGATGGCTGACTGGTGGGTGGATGGGCAGGGAGGGAGGGAGGCAGGCAGGCAGGCAGACAGGCAGGCAGGCAGGCAGGCAGGCAGGGAAGGAGGGAGGGAGGGAGGGAGGGGGAGGGAGGCAGGCAGGGAGGGAGGGAGGGAGGCAGGCAGGCAGGCAGGCAGGGAGGGAGACAGGCAAGGAGACAGGCAGGCAGGGAGGGAGGGAGGCAGGCAGGCAGGCAGAGCTTGGGAGGGAGGCAGAGATTGGGAGGGAGGCAGGCAGGCAGGCAGAGCTTGGAGGGAGGGGATTGGGAGGGAGGTAGGCAGGAAGGGAGGCGGGCAGGCAGAGCTTGTGAGGGAGAGGCACAGAGGGAGGCAGGCACGGAGGGAGACAGGCACGGAGGGAGGCAGGCAGAGCTTGGGAGGGAGGCAGGGAAGGAGAGGCTGGAGATGGATTGATGGAAGGATGGAGGGAGGGATGGAAGGATGGATGATTTGC